CCAATTCACCTTCCCCACGTATTTGGGTCACCGACATACATGTTTTGGTGACCAAAAATGGATTTATTTCGAGCACCTTCTTGCTTCGGAAGGCACTTTTATGCCGTTAGTCCCGGATTCTGTAGTTGATAGTAGGTAAGTACCCACTATAGTATGTTGGCGTAATGGGTATTCGCGTGCGGGTCAATTATGCTTTAGTGATATAATCCTAATGTAATGTCAATATGATGTTGATGCCAAGTTGACATTGTTTTTAAATGGTATTATGAAACATTCCTATGTCACATCAAGCTCATATCAATAGGTATCATATCCTGTATCACATTTTTGACGTTTATGCGATACTGTTTTAAGTCAAAAAGTTGAACGTAATACGCATTTAAGTTGATATCATTTTAAAGAGTTGATCATAATACGCATAAGTTGATGTCTAGTTGATGTCATTTTGATATAGCATTTTTCAGAGAGCATAATACGTAATGTGAAATTGACATCAAAACAATATCACAATTAGCGAGCATAATTGGCCTGCTGTCTTCTTGTTCCTTCCATAGGGAAGGTGGCCTTGCAAAGGTCTATACCCTAGCAGTTGGTAAAATGCAGAATTTTTTTGTTAAAGGGGCGGCAAAGCTGGATCCCTGATAATAATGAATCAATCAATGACGTTGGTAATTGTTCACATAAAGCATGCATATGCCTTTACGATGTCGTGGTCATCAGTGATCAATTTCGATTCGATCAATTCTTTTTTAGTTTGGTCATGTTTACCTATGTGTACCTATATATTGATAATGTTTCTATCGATGAATTTAAAAAGTTTGATGAATTCTACGTTTTTGTAATATAAAAAGCACATTAAATTGACATCCATTATACAATGTAGCTCCATACTTTTTCTCGCTCTGGCTCAAAATATCTACTTATCTATTAACGGCCCTGCCAACAATGAAATTATCGATTCCTTTGTTAAACATTATAATGATATAAACAGTGTCCGCTTTGTCTCCCTTATTTACTCACTGCGGAATAAAATTAAGGCGTTTAAAATCTTGGAAAATAACTTTGCGTACCTACTTTAAGAAGCAGTATTACGTAGGGACACTCGTAATATCTTTAAATAATAAAGTCGAAACAGCTGTCATAAATTATAGAAGGAGCAACAAATGCATTACCTTCCTTATCCTTTTATCTTTTCATGAATAATTCATCGTCTAAGATACTAAATATCATGGTTTCACGCTAAGCACCGCAGGGTGTAATCCTTTTGGAATGTATCATACATATGAATTAGTCAAGCCTAAGTATATATGTTTTCATGCTAATGCAACCCTTTTTTTGAAAATAGAGGACATTGGGCAAAAATGTATGGACGCTGCACCCACTTCCGCCACGGCTTGAACTACATTTGTTTGAAAGGTATTATAGTTATGATCATCTGTGCCAAAGCGTATCAAATTCCATCCCGGGGGTCTTTAGTTATTTAAAGTTAAATAGGTACCATTACTATAACGAACGAACATTAATGAAACAAGGAAATTATTTTAGTTAGTTCGACCCTACATAGGGGGCTCAGGTATTATAAGAGTACTTCACAAGGTGCAAGGGCATCCTTATGTTATTCAGCCGTGCTAGAGTAAATCCAAAAATCCCCGCATGGGTTGGGTTTTTTTTTCAATCATTTTTGTTACACCACAAATCACACAAACTTGTCCAGACTTCGGAGAAAACATGATTCCAGTTCATCCATACTAATTGACAAAACCGATAATCATGTTCGAATGTCCAAAGCGTGTTAGATAAAAATCGATCAAGTGACGGGGAGCCCATAATCACGACCCCCATTCAACCCCCCTAAACCGTTTTGAGGTGCCTCAGTAAGTGCAAGCCCAGGATGGTCAGCAGGCTTTGTCGTATAGTACGATGCGGCATATTATCATGGTTACTAATAATATAAAATGAAGATACTATAAAATGAATTCATTTAGCTACTTAAAATTGTCCACGTGTCATATCTGTTGACTACCAGGATATTTTTTACGGTGTCATATCTTGTACCACCAGGATATTTTTTACTGTGTCATAATAAAAAAGGCTAGTTTTTCATAGATCTATCGATTCATGCTAATTACATTGATGGCGGTGCTGGGTGTGTTTTGCCCATTGTCCTCTAGACAATACAACTCGCTAAAAAAATAGTTTCGTATTGTCTTATCTTATAACAAGTTTACAAGTCTAACTCCGATGAATTCTAAACATATGTCCTATAAAGTATGTACATTTTAGACAATATAACTAGGTACAATGACGTATAATATCAAAACGAAAAATATTTACACATTGTAGCGAAGTGTAGCCGCGGCGAGAGAGCGTGCCCGCGTGCCCGCCTGAATGCAAGTCGGGCAATTTCTTGACTTTCGTATTGCCAAATTAGAAGCGTGTATGACGTATCTTTAATTTATAAAGCACTGTTCAGACTGAGGCAAATCCCGCGCGGGATTCGTAACGCGATTCTCGCGCGGTATAGATTTGATGATTATTAGCGACTTTCTCAAGGATAGGAGGCGATCCACATTCGTTTATTATCTGTCATGTTGAAGGACAATTCAAAATAATTCATAATATTGGGCATTACGTTTCACACCACGACAGTGTCGACTCTGGCGTGATTCTCTAAGCTTAAAACTAAATTTAACATCAGTCTCTCCTTTTCATTCTGCATAGAGAATGACAAGGATACACTGGGACCAATTCTGGCGTTACATTCTCTAAACCTAAACTTAAAATTAGAGTGCTAATTTTAGTTTAGGGTTAGAGAATTGGTATTCTGAAATTGCTAACTAACTAAATTAAGAGAACAGTTGACAGCTGTAAACGAGCATCTAAATTGAATTCACAGATTATGTAAAAACATTGAACCGGTAATTATCGGTTTACTCAAATTAGCAATAATTACTTATTATTCAGTGATTTTGACTTATTTTTTTATTTTATTTAAGTAAATCTTTGTTGTTCTTCATCATCTTTGAAATATGAAAGCTTAACATAACTTTGTTATTTTACTGTATGAGAAATTATGAATCAATAATATTAAAGAGTGAATACTTGCCTACTCTGTGGTACTTAGGGTTTCTAGATTGGGAGTGTTTATCCTTATTTTGGGGAAAAATAAGAACTTGAAGAAATGTAATCTGCGGGGAGAACTTAAGGAATCATATTTTTTCTTTGAAAAAGCCAAGTATGTACTTGGGCTTAACGATGTGACGAAAAAAAATTACAAAGAAGTGCATCGAATGAGCAATTAGGTAGGTACCATTGCGCCGTGATGCAGTCTAATCATTCAGATGAAGTAAATAGGGTAAGTGTACTCGTCCGAGCAAAAACGTTTATTGTTTTGTCTGATGTATCACTACGATTGCCCGGCGGCACCGCGCCGGCGCTGTATTCATGCAATCCGGCGGCCGTGGCCGAGCCGAGGCGGGACCAAGTTTTTTCCGAGCGTTGTTTCATTTGTTGCTCGGTTGTCAGTCGGTTACTGCATGACAACCGAGCATATAGCGTATAAATAGCGTGAATGTTATATTTTACATGGATTATGGACATAATCCATGTAAAATAAATTATTTAATATTAGTTAACTAGAGAAGTTCGATGGCGCAGACGATTAGCTCGTTCGGCTGCGATCGTTGAAGTTAAGCAACTTTCGCAGTGGTCGGTCATTGGATGGGTGACCAAAAATCTTCTATGTCGAGTTCCTCGTTCTCCCGGCTGCATCCGCAGTCGTTAGCACCCGCCAATCCGCACTGGGCCTGCGTGGTGGGTCATGGCCTAATCTCTCTATTTCATCCATAGGGAAGGCCTGTGCCCCAGCAATGGGGACATTAATAGGCTGATGATGATGATGATGATTAGTTAACTCTGCTACGGCCGACAGGGTCTAACTTGAATCATCCTTGAAAATTTCTCGCATCGTAAATTCCCAATCCAGCATATCTATCTAATACCTATAATTTCGGTTTCGGTAAGAGGTTGTAAAATTATCCCTTCGGCTGTTTTGTGAAGATTTTATTCTCATTTATTGTATAATCCGAGATGCGTAACCTATTTTTATCTTTTTTGTTTCTATCAGTTTTTGGCGAGATCATCCCAATTATTCATTTGGTGAAGATGCCCTGTTTAGGATATATAAAAACAAACTTTTCAATTACAAACAGTAGGTACTTATTTCGTGTTTGGTTATTTTAAGAAATATGATTAGCTTATAAAAAGTTGGAAATAAAAACATTTCTAACTAATAGGTATTAAAAACTACTTCATAGAAACAAAACCACATAAAACAAAGGAACAAATAATACATTAAAGTCTCAAGTTGATTGGAATGCAAATCACTGACACCATACCTCTATTATCTTGTTAATTATTTGACTATGTACTTTAGATATAAGTAGGATCTGTAAGTATTACTTATAGAATTAGTGCATAGATTTTTTACCTTTTTAGGTTGTTTTTATATGAAGTGGATTTTTATTTATGTTATATAAGATTTTACCTTAAATTATTTAGTATTTTATACAAGATATACATGTACATTACCTACGAAAGACCACAATAGCGCAAGTGTAACGTGAATGTTAAGCAATTTTCACAATGGCCGATCTTAGGATGGGTGACCAACCCAAAATGTATTAAATCGAGTTCCTATGTTGCTGCTCGCTGCAGCTCGGATTTATTATAAGCATGACACATTAATAGGCTTATAATAAATCCGCATCGTAACATAGACCCACCTACCTTTTTAAAAAAAATAAAAGATCTAGCTAATATATTATTATCACCGTCGTTGTTCATTATTGTATAAAATTTGTCTTTTTTAACGAAATAAACCCATATCCAACCTTAACAACAAGTTCAAAACTTAAGTACAGCAATCATTTACGTGATATTTGGCCCCAATTATTCACATTTAAATTTAGAGAGGACCTCCGTAGGTCCTTCTTAAATTAAGTGTGACATTTCTAATTTTAGAGAAAATATGACATTTAGAACGCGTTTCAGAATACCATTTAATCATCTAAATCTAAGTTGAATAACTTAGCAACGTCAATTTTAAATTTAGAGATAGAGTGTCATTACAGAATACCAAATTGAATTTGACAATTCTATATCTAATTTTAGTTAGTTTTAGATATAAGTTGGCACGCCAGAATTGGGCCCACTGTTGTCAAATTTAAGTTTAGGTTTAGAGAATCATGTCTGAATCGACACCAATGTCTTATTAATTTAGTAAAATAGCAATTTGTATATAGCAGCTCATATATTATAACAATTTCGACTCAGGAACTATAAAAATTCGTGACCTTTTGGTATTGCTTCGGATAAGCAGCTGGTTGTCAGTCGCTGTTTATACATTATTTTATTTTTTACACCATGTTATAAAAGGTTATTATTTGTGTAAAGCTGTTCGTATGTTTTAACAATTTCGAATCGGGAACTGTAAAAAATATAAGACCTTTTGGTCGTTGAGTCGGATAAACAAGGATACACTAATTTTAGGTTTAGAGAGTTCGTTCCAGAATCGACACCAAATTATAGGTGTAGTAGAATAGATTAGCGTTATGTAATATATTTAGATTAGTTTGTAAAAATAAATATAATACAGTTTTAAGCATTTCTCTGCTGCATGTATAAATCTAAAGACTATTTTACTAAAAAAATCCACGCGGTCCAGGCATAACTACATAGGTTAAAAACGGAACGCGGATCCATTAGTAAAAAGGCGGTAGCAAAAGCGATGAGATCTGGCAACACTGATCCCGCGTCGGCCAGAGTGCACTCAGATTCAGATTCTGAAAACAAGCGCGAGAAATAAACAGTGTAGTCTAAGCAGGTTGCCTGCTTTTTCTCGTGCTTTGTTTTCCGAGTCTGAATCTGAATCTGAATCAGGAGTGCACTCTGGCCGTACCCTAAGACTACACTGTTTATTTCTCGCGCTTGTTTTCGGAATCTGAATCTGAGTGCACTCTGGCCGCACCCTGGGTACGGGTGCGGCCAGAGTGCACTCAGATTCAGATTCAGATTCAGATTTCGAAAATAAGCGCGAGAAATAAACAGTGTAGTCGAAGGGTACGGCCAGATTGCACTCCTGATTCAGATTCAGATTCGGACACAGAAAACAAAGCGCGAGAAAAAGCAGGCAACCTGCTTAGACTACACTGTTTATTTCTCGCGCTTGTTTTCAGAATCTGAATCTGACTCTGAATCTGAGTGCACTCTGGCCGCACCCTACGGCCAGAGTGCACTCAGATTCAGATTCAGATTCAGACTCAGAAAACAAGCGTGAGAAATAAACAGTGTAGTTAAAGCAGGGTGGCCATAGTGGCAGCAGGCAAGCAGGTTGCCTGCTTTTTCTCGCGCTTGTTTTCTGAGTCTGAATCTGAATCTGAATCAGGAGTGCACTCTGGCCGTACCCTTCGACTACACTGTTTATTTCTCGCGCTTGTTTTCGGAATCTGAATCTGAATCTGAGTGCACTCTGGCCGCACCCGTACCCTATATTTCGCTGCAGTTCACGCGACTATTCGCGTCAATGTGAACATGTCCATACAACTTAATTGGCGCAAACGGCGCGAGCGAATCGCGTCGCCTCAATCTGTACTGTGCTTTAAACATCATAGGGTAGATAGATGCCTCTGCCGAAAATAAATTAGAACCTGGTACTTTTGGAGCAGCTTCATGCCCTTCTTTCATGCCCCAAATAAATAAGGGTGGTCCACCCCAATTTTTTTTTACAATTGTTTTTTTATGATTTGGCAGTAAAAAATAAATATTAACTTCATCAGCCTGAACCCAACTAGACTAGAGCCGTCTAAGTAGCCGCAGTGAACTTTATTGAAATTGAGAAAGAGAAATATACTTTTAAGTTTGTTTTTTATCACAAACGTTAAGATTTGCCTACCTACTTACTTCGTAACAAAGAGTCATACAAACAATATAATTATCCTTCATTGATGTTTTTGTTCTAACTGATGGTCTGAATAAATGTTACAAAAACTGAATTAATAATTAAATTGATTAACACATGATCATGCGTGAGCATTCATCACTATACAATGAGGGAATTCTCATTTACAGAGCGCAATACCCTTTTGTTATTTGTAAAACAATAGTGTTGTAAGAACTAAGACCACATGCTAAGACGAACTATGAAGACTATACTCAAGGTAAGTACATATTCTAATTGCGATGCAACTTAGTGTATTAAGTTGTTCATCTAGTATACAATTCAGTCTATCCGTCTGTTAAGATCAAGACACTCGCTGTCACGAATGCCTGGAGTTATTAAACAGAATAATAACTTAATTAACATTGCATACTCAGGTCTCTAATTCCTTGGAGCCTTGAAAAACTAACTTCTAAGTCAAATGCAATCAAAAGATACAACTTTTGTTGTAATGCGATGCCACATATTTAGAGAATCGCAGGGGAATGAAACACGTTGACTTATAATAATGAAATTTTACACGAAACAATGCCATGTAGCACAGGCACTTAAAAAATGGAATATTTGAAATAAACAGATATTACTAGAAAAAAAAAACACTCAGGATTTCAGGTGGGAAGGGTCCCGAGTGGATTTTTTCGAGTAATGTTTTCTTTAGATTTAAAAATTTAACAGTAAATACATTATAAAATTTGAAATACTTAGTTACAGAACTGACGTGCGCACTTACGAACAATAAAGTCAAAATTAAGTTCACAAAAGTAATTTCATTCAGTGGATCATACTCGTACTGCAGACCACTTTAATGTAAAACGTACCTGTTTGCGTGATCTGCTTGTTTGTACGGAACCCCTAAATTTAGAGATCTACAATATTTTAAGAAACTATCGGAGCATAATCCGACTCGCATTTAATAGTTTCTTTTGGTTCAGAGTTTATCCTTTTCTCATTTTATCATGATATATGGCAGTCATATCATATGTTTACAATAAATATGAATAAATAATCTATTTCATAATAGCTAAGCACTTATGTAAAATTGTTTTTTTCCGTATCACTTGGGACTTCCAGTGGAAATGGAACCAATGTTTGGAGGTGTTACCTTTATTTATTGATAAGATTCAAAATCCTACCGCTTCCATGTTGGCATGATGATCGGATGAAGGTCGATCAGTGTGTTGTTCAGGCCAGTAAAGCAGCGGTTATAATACAAGCGATAACTGGGTTAATGATAAACTACGAAATATTCACTTAATGCTATCGTAAATAAAAATGTTAATGGAAGCTAAACCAAGTTGTCTCAATACAGACTGGATTGGTCCCTTCTCTATTCTGATGGTAAATCTAGCTCTAACAATAAAAATGTAGCCACTTAAATTGAATAAATTAAGAAAATAAAACCGGCCAAGTGCGAGTCGGACTCGCGCACCGAGAGGGTTCCGTACAAACCTGTAGATATATTTTAATAATAATTAAAAAATATTTTTTATTATATGATGTAACTAAAAATTTACGGTTTTCGCATTTTTTCCTTTATCTGTACTATAAGACGTTACTTCATACCAAATTTCAAGATTCTCAGTTCACGGGGTTTGATTCCCGTGCGAGTTTCGAAAATTTGTGGAAATTTGCGGCATAAACGGCTGTATCTTTTGATTGCTTTGGCTTAGATGTTTGATTTTTTCACAGCTCCAAGGGACAGTAGACCTGACTATCAAATATGAATTTCAGTTTGATACCTCCACGCGTTCCTGAGTAAAACGGTCTTGACAGACGGACGGACAGGAAGTGATCCTATAAGGGTTCCGTTTTTTCCTTTTGAGGTACGGAACCCTAAAAATAACTAGGCAAATTGTATCATAAGAACATTAAATATAATTCTGTTTATTTAATGGCATTTATTTAGATAATAAATTATTCATGAATAAAATACGCTTTCTTAATATGCGATTTCATTAACTGTGGGTTTACATTTATTTAGGGTCAACTGTTGAATTTTGTTGTTCATAGTTCCAAATAAGTAGCAAAAATTAGATACACAATAAGATGCATTAAAAAAAAGAAAATGGTTGCCTTTTTCAGTTCCATATCGCTACATAATTAACCACAGCCGAAGATAAGCAAACTGTAAGGCTCCATATAAATGTAAAGAAAGCTAAATTATAGCTCACTATTAAGCGGATCGCTTCACTATAGTGTTAAACTATAGTTTTTTTCAAATATACAGTGGCTCGTTTGTAATGGAATCTCTTAATTCAATCCTCTTTGTGTATGTCGTGTTAAGTATATTCGTAAGTTGCTGTAGAGGATGGGTGTTCACAGACATAGACTATGATGATGTGCTACGGTCAATGGCCCTCGACTACGATGAAAATGACTTGGAAAACGCTGTTGATGATATGATGAATGCGAAATTTAGTCTCATATATCCGGGTAAGATTTATATTAGATTTTTGTTTTAATCCAATGGTATTATATCAAAATCTCATTTATTTTTGTTTATCTTTAAGTCAGATGATAACTTGTGGAAATGTATTAATTTTTAGTAGCCTTCTAATTTTATTTACTTAATCGGATATAAAAGAGGTGACCAAAGTGTAAACCCTGAGGGAATCTCTTAAAACGAGCTGATTATTCGTATTTTCATATTTCTTTTTCCATTGTTTCTTAAAGGTAGTTAAGTCGTTACCAAGCGATACCACATGAAATAGCGCTAATAATTATATTGGGTGATGCTTTATTAAATATAAATTCCGGACAACTTACAACATGATTTAGTATCAAAAGTCACCGTAGCTTGTAGTGTAGAAGCATAAAGTACTAATATCATTACATATACTACTAGACTATGGGGTCCAGTTATGAAGAGTTAGTTCTAATCGTTTAAACGTTGATTTATTTAAAATGAAATCGTCCTAGTTTTATGTTCTTAAATAAAACACCAACGATTTGTTTGTAGATGGAAATATTTTTATTTTAGTCCCATTATCAGTATTTTGCAATTCTGACGTTCACGATAATGTCTAATATTTATGTCTTAATAATATTAATAATTTCTGTGTCGTACACCATTCGTACTACTCTGTCAAGGTAATATATAAGTATATGGTGTGATGCTATGTATGTAAATCTTTAAAAATACATTTTTAAAAGATAATTCCTATTGATTTTCACAACATATTCTTTTTCGTTACGGAAGCGAAACCAAATACTGCTTTATTAAAGATATTTTCCTGATTATTGTGACAGGTACGAAGTGGTGCGGTCCTGGCAACGTGGCGGACGACTTCAACGACTTGGGATCGTCAGCGGAGGCCGACATGTGCTGTCGAGCTCACGACCATTGTCCTGACGTCATACTCGCGGGGGAGACCAAGCACAACCTCACCAACACTGCATTTTACTCCAGGTAAATTTTGCTTCGATTATGAGGTTAAGCAACTCTTGATAAAGATAGCTATCGGAATCTAATTGTGAATCGTGCTTTGAATTAAAATACATATTTTTAAGTTTAATTTAAGTTGATGCTAGCAATTTCTTTACGGTAGCATTACAATGCGGCAAAAGGTGTTTCTTCAATCACTTTAATAAGCATAAAATTCAATTGTCGTTAATTATTTAAATCTACGGTGATTTTTATTATTATTCCTTGCTTAAATGTGTAAATTGTATCCCACTTAAGGATAAGTTGCGATTGTGACGAAAAGTTCCGGCGGTGTTTGCGGAAAGCGAATAACAGCGATTCAGCACGAATCGGAAACATCTATTTCAACGCCCTTGGCACAAAATGCTTTAGGAAAGACTACCCAAAAAGAGGATGTAAGAAGAATGGCGGGTAAGTCTACAGAAATACCTACCACTCACTGAGTTTATATATACCCACTCACCTGATGGTAATTGTAAGTGGAGTCCAGTCGCGAAGACCCAATCCCCGGCCCACGGGGATATCTTTTTCGAGGGCTCCCAATTAGGCGAAAGTTCATAGGACACAAGCACTTTGCTTCTACTAGTTAAATAGGGTGGTCAAGATATCAGCTACTCATAGGTTCTAGATTGGATCCTGATGGGGCTTATATTTGTTTGATACTAACATATCCATATTTTAAGTATGTATCTTATCTACTGACATATTATGGATCAAAGTTTTTTTCAACGAGGCGCCGCGAATTACCCTACACCACTTGATGTTAAGTGTAAGTTTTCCATCGCAGGACTTCAGAGTAGGCGACTTGACATCTGAAAACCAGTGTACTTACACTCAACTACGCTAAAAATAGGCGTTTCATGAAAAAAAACAATGAATTATTTATATTATTACATTTAAAAAAATCTGATGTCTTTCAGGTGGCTTGGCAATAAATGTATAAAGTATGAGTATGACTACAATGGAGAGAAAATCTACCAGTGGTTCGATGTGCCAAATTTTTAGAAGTGGTTTCGATAAGGCCTCTTAGATGACCTCTACAAATTTAATTTAATTTTTCCGGAAAACTTAAAGTTCCTTGAAAAGTAAGAGTCCTCTGTAAAAAAGGATCGCACTATATATTTTAATGTGTTGTTCAACGATTGAACAACGACAACGAAAGCCTCAATTTTTATATGACTGTTATGTTAAATAAATGCTGTATGATGTGTGTAAAAATATATACAATAAATAAAGAAGCGGCATTTGTATTATTTATTTTGTCTCAGCATATTTCATTGGTACATTGTTAGAGATTTGTCCTTTAATAATTGTCATAATTCACCATTAAGTATAAGTAATATACAAGTTTTTTTTTATTAAATTATGCACACATTAATGCATGATTAATATACATTATCTTTTTATATTATCTCGTAGAAATAACCATACACATAGTTATACATATTGTGATAAAAGATATGGGTACAGATGTATAACAATGTATAAACAAGTGAACAACTTTGAACGGTGTTAGAAATAACGCTAAAATATTAATTAATGATAGAAAAACTTCGAATACAGGTTATATAGGTAGTTAGATATGTAGCACAGTGCTTAGCTAAAATATTTTTTCAGGCGCACGCATGATTATGTACAATCAATTTTAATATACAATACATAGTTATACATTATTGTGGACTAACAGTGGGGGTTATATACGTTATACATGGTTATCTAGGAATCGCAAGCTAGATCTGGATCGTTATTATGACAAGGTTCAAAAATACGAGACAAGAATGAGAATGTACTTGATAGATACGAAGCGATTAAAGGACTTAATAGAGAATCCCTTGTACAAAGTGAGCAATCTCGAAATAGTCTACAATCCAAGCGACCTTACCGTTCAATATGTACAACAACAATTTCAGAACATTTATTATAAACCATTTAAACTCCAACGTCGCTCTGTAGGACATCCCTTGTAGGTACCTACGTTTTAAAAGCTTCATTCACATTTATGAAACTGGGAACATTTTTCTCTATACATTTCATAAATTCTTTAAGTGAACCAACAAAGTTAATATATATACCCATGATTCGCAAGTCGATTACATTATTTAAAATAACGAAACTTGAATGCAAGCAGTCTTTTATCGGTTAATTATTAACAATAGTCAATCTTTTGGACAACATTATTCCGACCATGATATCAGCTATCTAAAGAAAACAAGATTTACGGTACATAATATAACAATGAAGAAAGCATCATGAACTATTTAATAAGAACAACATATCAAAAAAATATTTTCCATGAACTTCAAATTACAGAGATTAATATAAGAATAACCATTACTTAATTTAAGGTACCTACTTATCCGATGAATTCACACCATAGTTTTAGTAGCACTGAACTAAATTAATAGTAAATTTATGGAAGTTAGGTAGCAATCATTTACAAGTCTTTTATCAGAGAAAATACATGACGAATACAGATATATTATATTAAGTACTTACAAAATGGATCTGTAGAGTTCCTGATGTCAAATACTTCTAATTAGTGATCAATGACGCAGTCATATTATTATACGAGAATGATATAGATGGTATCACGTCTACTATCACAGAATATCATTATGTCGAGAATGATTCGAGGGACCAGGTGTAAAAATCCAAGGAGCTTACGTAAATTTCTTAAAATATTAATATTTTGCATAATTATATTCGGCATGAGACTTGGTTATTGGCAAATCTTTATAGGCAACTCTATTTAAATTTACTCCAAGATATACATTTAAATAACTGTGAATAATAAGATATATAAATCAACTTCGATATAATACTATGGCTTTGAAGATATACATGATATTATTCATTAAAATTAATTAACATTTTGCATCCTTTCATTTTATTATTTGATTATATGGATGACTTTATTATTGCCAATGTTCATTTATTACAACACGAGCATAATTGTACTTTCGCTTATAATATATATCATAGCTATCATCATATTATTGCAGGTGTTAATAAGATGTTTCTTTTGAAAACAATTTATTGGGTCGATCAGAAGGACGGTTACAACTGTATATGACGTTGTCAATACCGAAAAGAAGGATATTACTGAAGTGTTCAGTTTTTTTTCTATTAAATGTTATTGATATAAAAACTATATTTAAAACAAGGTTTAGTTGTAAGTTCACGTATTGAACATTTTTAAATGTAACTCACAGCTAGCGATTGAAAACGTAACGTAGAAATTACAACAAGTCTATACCACAAGGATTGTGAAATAGTTACTATTAGATATAATTATTTTATTTTCATCATTATCCATATCTATATAAATACGAAATAATTTTTGTTCCAAATGCAATAACGTTTTTAAACAATCACTCATATTCTAACCTAACAGATGGGAAAATTCCGAAGATAGAAAACTTCAGATACACGACTAATTTCAGGTGTTTAAACTCCAACCGTGGGTACTATCAAGACAGCACTAATACTTGAATATTCACTAGACTGTGCGTTTATTGAATTAATTATTTACAACATTTCCTACGTTAAGTACAGTACTAAATCGATCGAATCGATGGAGAAACGCGCTCGAACGCGATCGATTCTGTAGAGTACCGGTGTGAGAACAACCGCAGCGGTGATGCCGAGGGTCGCAGCGATAGCGGTGGGTCCAATCGCCCTCAGCCGCGACACTGCGGCGGCCGCGAGGACGCGGAGGCGGCCCGAAGCCCGCCCCGCCGCCATTATTTGCCGCCGAGGCCGAATTTCATGAATATGAGCTCCTTGCCTTTGCTGAGGATGTCGCCTCCGGGCGCAGTCATCTCGGAGAACTTCTGCATGAGGTTGGGCTGGTTGGCGGGCGGCTGCTGGGCGGGCTGTAGGGGTTGTGCCGCGGGCGCGGGGACGACGGCAGGACCGGAGCGGCGCGCGGGCGACACGCTCACTGCGGCAGTGCCAGCGACGGTAGCAGTAGCGGCCGAGCTGCCGAGCGGGGTGCCCACGGCGGCTGTGCCGGGCGACTGCACCGTGGGCGAGCCCGCGTTACCAGCGTTCGTGCGCGCGATCGTGCTCGCTGGCTGTGCGATCGCCGCGCCTCTCGCCCTCGCCTATCAAGTCAATCGTTTCATTTACACGACTCCTTACTCTAGGTAGATTCTAGAACTTGAACAAAATGCGAGAAAAGTATTTTCAAAACGGTATATGAAATTAATTAATTAATTGCCACTATTAAATCGTGACAATTAATTCACTTATAGTTACAGTTTATTTATTACTCGCTGATTTTACTTCAAGTTAGAATCCACCCATTGTCTTCTTGAAATAAGCACCTAAATACCTAAAATGATTTTCATATTCCCATTGTAAAGAATTATATAAGTAATACAAAGTTTAATAGTATATAAAATGGCTAAGGTGAATATTTATTTCAAGAAGACAAAATACAATAGTGTTATTAAATGCATCGGAACAGAATCGAAATATTAAGCAACCATACCAAAAAATATTTCCCTATCGATTGAAATCTATATGGAGCAAGCAAAATATGAAATGTATCAAATTAATCAGTGATATCTTCATTATAAGATTTTCAAATAAATATATTTATCTATCAAGAACAATGTGTTATCATGTTTAACTGAAGTATTTATTAATTAATCTGAAATATAACTACTTATATTTATTGATATACGGGATATGGATGCTTGAACCTACTAAATAAGAAATTATAGTTGTCCATTAAATTTGTATAACGTCTATAGATATATTCGAGATAGGCATGCTCTTTTACATTTACGAGTAAATTATTGCTGAAATCTTTTTAACAGCTTTCAAGTACCTAAATCTCTTCAGATAACAAAATGTGCGGTATAAAGAAAACATGCAATGCCATTCAATAAAGCCAGTGAGAAATATTAAAAACCGTAAAAAATATAAACTTGCTTGATAAATACCTTTTCTTGATATCAATTCAGTTCTCAAGAAAGGCAAAGGAAAGGGTTACTCGTTTCGTTGTAATTGTTATTCCAAAACATTCACCATGCTTCTACTACAACGAAAGCATTCAGATAATACTATTCGATTACTTGACGAGATAATGTTCGCTGAAGATAACATTGGAGACAACTCAATTCAGTAATCGCCTAGTAAGGGACCACATTCACAGGCTTCAGAGAGGTTGTATTTTTTAACAGTAAATGGGTTATGGTATCTGATGTGAGTGAAGTATACGCCAGTGTAGGATATGTTCTAGTCTCTGTATGATGAAGTCCCGATTATGATATGACATCTAATGATGTGTACGAGGCGATGTCCGAAATAATCTAATGGACCAAGATCGCAAATGGTAATGTACGTAACCGGTCACCCGTCTACACTGAGCTTAATAATGAAACGCAAGGTAAATATAGACAAATAAAAGAAGAATAAGGAAACAGTGAAATAAAAAATCTAAGAGTTCATGAAGTGATATAATAAAACAAAAAATAAATAAATAAACGACTAGTATTGTTGCAAAGTATACTTGAAACAGTATCGTTGTGGGTCGATTATAAACGGTATTTTTTTACCTGAGAATTCGCCTGTTCTGGATTACTGGCGCATGTGTTGTGGTCTAACTGAGAAGGGGGAAGAGGGCAGGCATCTAGCAAACAGACAATACACACAACATATATAGTGACCACAGACAACCACTTGAATCTTGGATCACACTTCACGCGCACCGTGAGCTCAGTGCAAGTCTATGTTGCGTGTATTTATAAACAGATAAGCCTACCCACTGTCGTGGATCGTGAAAATAAACCGTGAAGGGGTGAACGTGGAAACAAAAAATAAATAAAAAAAGGATAGAGAGTTGGATAGATGTAGAAACAAAAGTAAGGGTTTGACTGATCGCTTCGGGCTGAGGTCGCGAAATGTTATTGGGCAAATATTTTGGTATGATTCGTGTTCTGATTGTTCAATTATTATGGATGGTCTCCGTTATGATAAGAATATACCGCGGCAAACGTTTAACGATGTTTGTGACTGTGTAATCCAAGATAGTGTTTATTAGCAAAGTGTACACCAAGAGTCTTTGTGCTCCGAAGATTGCAACCGGACTCGCATTTACCAATTCCGCCTTACTCTTTATCGTCATCCCTATCAATAGATTTCATCATTGATCACACAAATTCACTTCCGTTTTTTATATAAAGAAAGTGATATAAAAAGGGAAAGAAGAATTGTAGTAAAACCACAATAATATTCAATATTTTCGAACAAAATCCTGAGGCCGAGAGGTGAATTTGTGGATTAATCTAGCAAATGAGATGATTTAATCTGTATTTTATAATAAAGATAAATGAAAAAGTACAAATATCTGTCTCGTTTAGATTAAAAGTTATTGTTCTTAAATGGTATACTACTCGTAGCAAAACGGAATGCTAACAGTCGATCTCGCAAGTCCAATCGCAATCGCAAGACCATGTACAGGAAAGTTGATAGAGGATACCAGAGCGAAATAGCTAGCGTCTCTCAGTAGTCACATAGCAAGTCCAAGGTGCAAACATGAAACACTCAAAGCTCTCGGTGAACGCGAACTGACGAGTCACCGCACTTACCAACTGATAGGGCGGCCGGGCCGTTCGTTTCAACGCAACTGGGAATTCGGGTGTATCATGTAAATTCCATTTAGATCGTACAGTTTCAAGTAGGTATGGTAAGTAAACATTTCATTAATTAAGTGTTGTCAAGTGATCATGTTGTGGTATTTCTGAAAGTATCCTAGTCGCTATCGCGTCGAAGCCTACACCTGGCACTGTAGAATGTGATATTCGTACTATACAAATAGACATCGATAAAGCTACTCTTCGAGCTGAGATACGTTATGCGTTCAGCGATCGTTCAGTCGACGATCGAAACCGACGGCCTGGCCGCCCAGTTTCTTACATCGTTAATCGTACGGCTAACAGGGAGAGTAACTATGACAGCGATTAAAGAGAAGCCGGTGGCTATCAGAGTGTGGTACGCACCTGTTTTGCGGTGGTGGTTGCGGGGCGCGGGCGCGACGTTGTCGCGGGGCGGTGGCGGCGGGCCCCGCGCGCCGGGCCCCGGAGGTGGCGCGCCCCGCCCGCGCCCCGCCGTCGCCGCGCCCGCGGGGCCCGCTCCGCGCCCGCCCATACCCATTCCCGCGCCTGCGTTCAATACAATCGTGTGGATCCCGTGCTTAACATCATCAATATCCTATTGATATCCGCACTGCTGGAGCACAGGATCTCCCCATGGATGGAATAGGGAGATTGGGCCATGACCCACCACGCGGCAGTGCGGGTGGGTGGATGCTAACGACTGTAAATGCAGCCGGGACCAATGACTGAACAAACTTACTACCGAAGCGAAGGAGCTCGTTATATGAAATAAATGTTGGGTCGCCTATTCTTTAAACAACAGCACGCAATTTTCGTAATGGCTTAACTGCCACGATCACAGACTGAACGCGTTAAGTACTTGCGCTATAGAGCTCTTATGCTTCTGTCTTAACTCTGATTATATATATTATATTTGCGATTGCGGAGATTGCGGATTTGATGTTTCTGATGAAGATAGCATCTAGTGCCAAGGATAGCCCGGAACTTGTGTCAAAATTGACCTTAGAGTTCCAGTAAAGCGTCTTAGATCGAACCCAATTTTATATATCCCTTCAGCGTCTACTAACTATCGGCAGAATGCATGTCTCTCACGTGCTTGTAATAATTTCAATATACCAAGCCTATTTAGATCTTTTTGACACTAGCGAAATAGAAATGACAAAGCAGAAATATTTAACTATTGTACTCTATATTGCAGCGAATATTGGCATGTAGTATGCGTGCATGTGTTTAAATAGTGCGCGTACATAATAATCTAATCTGTTGTTATTTGTGAGGACCTATAATTGGCTAATTGTTACTACTGTAGTTATATTTTCTGTTTTAAATTAGCTGTTGGTCTTCCAAATAATAAATAAATAAATATCGATCTAAATTGTTAATGAAAAATCCAGTTGTAATAAAAAGTATTTATCTAAAGTAATATTATTGACTTCAGCCAGTATTACTAACATAACATAATTTTTAATTTATGAGTATTACAAACAAGGCAAAGACTTTAAAAATATAACAATGGTGCCGATTCTGGCATGATTCTCTAAACTTAAAACTAAATTTAACATCAGTCTCTCCTTTCTATTCTGTGTCGAGAATGACAAGGGCACACTGTTGCCAAATTTAAGTTTAGCACCAATATAGCATTTAAATTAGATATGCCACATTGTTATTTTTTAAGTTTTGATAGAGATGCCAAAAACGTTAAATTTAGACAATCATCTCCCAAGATATGCCATTGCAGTCAACACATACAACAACCTTCTCTGCAAATACTGTCAAATATCCATAAAAGTAGCTTATAAGGTAAGATGACTAAACTATCAAAATTATTTACCTTGACTCGTCTGCCCCGCCGCGTACTGGTCGTTGGCTTCCGTGAGGAAGTTGCTGGGCACCAGACCCCTGACACCATCGATCTCCGCCATGAAGAACCCGTCGTCGTCCATCTCTCCGTATACGTGGATGATTTGGCCAGTCTGGAAACTTAACTCCGCCTGAAAATATCAAAATTAAGTGTTGGGTAGGATCCTTATCACATTGATCTTTGAACTTAAACAAATGAACAACCGTACGTATGTTCGCTAATGCTTTTTAAAATTTTAAATTAAATAATAAATTAAGAAATTATGAGTCACAAGCTTGTCAATTTACGTGCAATATTCAAAGTGATACACATCAAATTTAAGAAAAGTAATATTAATGATATTGTCAAAATTAAGAGCGGCCGCCGCCCGCACCTCTCACTGTACCCCGCAGGCGAGGTCTCAGTTAAGCGGTCTACTTATAATATCGTTGTAAAAATATGATAAACTTACATCAGCATCAACATTGGGGCTCAGCTCTTGCGGGTCGTAGTCGTACAGGGCCACCATCCTGCGGACCGGCTGGGTGGCGTACGCGTCGGACCACCGGTCGCGCGGTTTCGCGGCCGCCTGCCCCACAGCTTCCTGTTCGGACACCTCCACCACCATGTTGTGGGGCACGTAGCCGCGCCGCCCGCGACACTCGCCCCAGTAGAAGCCGTCCGCATCTTTGTCGCCCCATACCTAAGGCCAATGTCAAAACATAAATTTCGTAGTGTCAGAATGGACTATGAAGCTGGATCGCACTCGACAAAAAAGACTATAATTGGTTTTTCTTTTTATAGCAAGATCGTAGCGTCAGATTGTACTGTGAATCTAGATAGCATCCCTCTAGGAAAATCTGTAGCTACGACAACAGCGTTAGCTTGGATTTAAAAAATTAGATTGCATTCTATTTTCGAAATGCTGCTAACACATTTCAGAATAATTAAATACAATTGAGAATAGATTATAAAAAAGAGAAAAAAGATTTTATTTTAATAGACAATTCCAGGGATTCCAAAGTAGAATCCCGAACTGAGTAAACTGAGGTACCTTTACATACATACAAGGACGAAGGGATTTTTTTGAGAAATTTAAATGTAAATAAAAAAATATCACTTAAAATATAAACATAAAGGTTAAGTTAGGCTGACAATGTACTTTTTAAGGATCAATTACCTACTATTTTTGTAATGATCATCAATATCAATCAATATACTCGTATATATGTGCCTTATTGTTTCACGAGTAATGTTCTATAACTTTTTTATCATTGATTGTGATTGTGACCTTATAAATAGTAATTAATTTGTATTTACCCTGACAGCAACAAATTATCTTCTATACTAATGTTGTTTAAGGAATACATATATTTATATACAACAATGTCAATTCAAACACACTTTTTATCCTTTCCCTGGTCAATTTCAATTCTAGACTGACAATGTCTTATTGAAATCAAGGTCCTAGAGGACAAAATAGCAGTCAAGTCTAGTAAACAATGATAACAATTTCTAATGAAATATTTCTGAAGATTCGTACCTTAATAGTATCGCCTTCGCTAAACGGCAGTTCTTCGTCACAGCTCTCAGGATTAGGACTCATAGTGGCAGGGTCGTAATCAAACAAGGCGATGAAATAACGACTCCTCTTTGACTGTGGATGGCCTTGTTGCTGGTGGCGAGGACCCGGCTGTGGGCCCCGGGGACCCGGGGCAGGTCCGCTTCGGGGCCCGTACTGGAGATTGCTTTGTTGCGCTTGTTGTTGCTGCTATAGAAAGCATCTCATTTACAATAACATATTAAATCATATTACAGAAAATGATACAAGAAAAAGTATTTTCTAAATTCTAATCAAGACAGTAGAAATGGAAAAGGATAATGCTTATTTGGTAAGTAAGAATTTATACTTGCCACACATGTAAGCTGAATGAAAAGTAATACCGGTTAATAATGGTACATGCTGCTGTTAATATGGAGTAAAATAAAGGGAATGAACCTGATGAGGGTTAGGAGGGCGGCCTCTTTCGTGGTGGTTCCGTGGTGGTGGGTTCTGGAATTGCTGCGGTTGTCCGGGGTACGGCGGCTGGTTACTTGGGAACGGAGCGGCTGCTTGGTATGGGGGTTGCTGCGTGCCATGGTAGGCTTGTGTACTCTGGTACTGCTGACCCGATGGCTGCTGCGACGCTTGCGCTGGTTGGGACGGTTGCTGCTGACGTCCGTACGAACCAACACATTAATAAGGTTAGATTTTCCATAACAGAACCAACAGCAATAGTTAAGCATATAGCCATAATTTTCCTCATTGGCGTTGCGTTAAGCGATAAAAATTTTACCTGCTCCTCAGATGGAAAGAATTTTAAAGACATTCCGTTGTAGCTCTAGTCAACCCCCATGCACAACGAAAGCTAGCGTGCAGCGTTCACACTTGAAACCATATCATAGCAGAGTTTATAATGGTAAATGGTTCCAAAAGTGCTCGTCAGCGTTTAAGTATTTAGTAAATAAAACTCTTAAACTGAACCTCTCCAAATAGTAGTTGTTATTCATCAACGAATTACAGTTAATTTTTCTTCTTTGTCCATACTATTTAACAATAAAGACTGTTCGGTAGGTGTGTGGGGAGTATTGAGTGGACGCGTCGAAGCCAAGACAACATGCAGGAACAATCAAACAAACACGCGCTGAACATGCTTCAGTGAATGATTTGTAAGTATTGAGTGCTTTGTAGGGACCTATTAACATGTTGTTGGACCACCTAATATTACTCTGGGAGAATAACGTGTGTAAACGTGCTAAACGTGTCTTTATACCCTGGACGTGTATGGAACGCGTGAGCCTGTGTCGAATGTGTGGCGTCGGACATCAAGGACGGTACAGTATGTGAAGATGACAACACAGAACACCGAGAAGTGGAAACTCGTGACCGGGAGAGAATTCGCACAAAATTGAAATAGAGAGAGACAGAGCATAGTGAATAGTGCTAGCACATGGAGAGCACATCGATGACAGCAAGGAGAGATCGCAGACCTGCGGGCGGCGGCGCGTCGCCTCCTCATCCTCGCTACCCAGCTCCGTGGCGCCCTCTTTAGTGATTTCGATGGCCGGTATTCCAGATTGCTACCACACGGTCATTCAATATTTTAGCACATAACAAATTCGAGTTCAAACAAGATAAATTAAAGTGATATTATGGAAGTGCTGACTGAATGATCGATGCTGATTACGAAAGTGGTAATGTGGTACATTTCTTCGGTTGGTGATGGCGTGATCAATTTTGCTTCCATGTTTTGCGATTGAGACCTTATTGCAAGGATATCTAAGCATTTTTGTTGTATCTATTGGTAAATTAAAGATATTTGTAGAAAGCGGACAAGTAAAAGCTGCAGAGAGTGTTGATTAGACACAAATTCATTGAAAGTATTCGAGGTAGGACACAGGCAGAGCAAATGAAGCCTTACTTATATAAAAGCTTAAAAGAGGAAATGAAAGTTCACTGCCGTGAGAGCTTTAACTTTTTCTTTTGGATAATACTTGCATTGGAGAATTGCGACTTTTGACTGATCAGTAATGAATGTGTAATTTGATGGTATGTCAATGGAGTTTTATGATGTATGGATGTGATCGATCTGCTTTTGAATGTCATGTCTATTGTTTATATATTTCGATAAAATAATGCTGTGACTGATCTTTTCTAACAGTTATTATACTAATTTCATTATCAACTGTTAGTAAATTCTCTAATAGAACCTACTTCTATCTGAATAGCGCTATGGTTTCTATATTCATCTGTTTGTTTTGTTTTAATCTCAGCTAGACTTTCTTTGTAGAGAAAAAATATGCACAACTTAGCTATATATAGTCTCTTTCTACTAATTTTCTCTTCTACTCCATAATTATATGTATAAAAGCATACTCAAATTAAATTTGTTTTCATATGCTGAATAAACTCTACATTATTATTTATAAGTAGAATACTGGCACACTGTGTAAATATAAAAAACCTTAAATAATAAAAGAAAATATTATATAACTAATAATACAAAACAAAAATACACTCTCAAAATTTAAAATAATATATGAAACGCTAAACAATATGTGTGTTAAAAAACTCCAAAAAATAAATAAAATGTATATGATAAGACGTGTTAAAATTCCTTACCGAAGGGGTTATTTTGTCGAATATACTCTTTAGGAGGCCTGTGCCGAATCCGCTCGTAGGCTATGGAAAGGTGTATAACAGTTATGTGAGAGAGCGAGGCAAGGTTATGCTAAGTGGGATGATATAACTCATGAGATCCATGGCAGTATAGTCTGTGTCACAAATTACAAGCTCTTTATTTGTTCTAGGTTGTATATCTGTAAGGTGTCGTGCGTTGTTTTGGGTATCGGCCAATAGCACTAGAGACTACAGATCTAGTCGCAAGCAGAATGCATTTAATTTTGAACGATCGAGCCGAGTGCATAGCTAGAATCGATGGCGCGAGTGGTCATGTCGTGAACCGTTCGGCAGAGAACTAGGTACTGGACATTTAGAAGATGCCAGCGACAGAACCACAGAAGATAGTATAAAGAGTGCAGTTTGCAACACCGATAACACGTAACAAACCATCTGTACGGACAGAAGTTACATTTGAGGTTCTACAAAAGTTATTTTTGAAATTATACCTCTTCTGACATAGGAACAGATCGTTTGATACGTTAGAAAAGAGCATAATGACACTGATTGTTATAATGATAGTAGCTAAGAAGACACAGACGAAGAATCATCAGAGACGAACAAAAAAAATAAGCATGTAATAAATACCTAGTCATCGATTTAAACATATACACTGGCGAAATTAAATCTGAAGTAATAACACAGATAATTACAACACTGATTTGCAAACAAACATAGGTAATGTAATAATGTATACATATAGACAAAGTGCTGTGACCAATATTTATTTGAGATTTATTAAATTTAATGATTAACTCAGTACATCCAATCAATCAGCGAAAAATGATAGTCAATGAATCAAAATATAAAAAATTCTTTGTCTGATTAATGAAAACGTTTAAGAACATTGATTCATAGTGGGCGGCTTTGATTATTAAAGCAGGACGGTTTGTCGAAGTGACCTTTTTGATTTTCTAGTCCAAATATTATAAAAATGAAAGTGAGAGTTTTTTTAACCATGCTTCAAAAATAATTAAGACTTTAATTAATGCAGCCGTACTTATAATTTTGTAATAAACCAATATTAATAATAAGATTTTACACGAATATGAATCAAAGTTCCAATTATAAATTACACAACCATTAAAAGTAAGAGAGAGCGGTCACCTGAGCGGCGTGCTGGTCGTGACGATTGGCAGTGGGGAATATCTCTTTATCGGATAAATTCTCATCATGCTCAATAACTTGCTGCTGTTGCTGATAGGGCTGCGGCCGTTGTATAGGACCTCGATACGCAGGCCCTCCTTGCATAGGTCCTGGGCCCCGAGGCATCCTTGACACCACCCCGCGAAGCACAGCAGGTGGTATAGGTGTAGGTGCACTGTCACTGGATTGGCTGTCCCGTGATTTTGTACGAACCTGAAAATAATATAGTGATAACTATACCATATAACTGTGTGAACCTTATTGTCTTTGGATTTCAATCGGTTTAGCTTTCATAATTCATGTTTAAAAGTATCCAAAAGTAGGAGGTTCAACAATGCGATTATAGCGTTCTACAGCCAATTGAAGCTCCATATAGCTATACTTACTGTTACACATTTAGGATTGAGGCCAATCAGTTTCCCGATATCGATGAGCGCGTGATCACCAGTCGGGGAATCCACATCGGTCACTTTCTTGCCGTCGGCGTACACCGCGTATCCAGTGACTGGTCCGGAGGCCGGGGGGCGAAGCACCGGTTGCCAGGTGACGAGCAGAGTGCCGTCCTGGGGTCCCGCTTCCACCTGCGACACCGCACCAATCACCACCAATAATCCAGCCAGAAGCAAAACACGCTAGCCAATTAGGTTTTGAAACAATTTAATGACCACCATCCATAACATCGAAGCCGCATCATGTTGGGGTTGACGACACAAATGTAGGGTACACTAAACTAACAATAGGTGAGCACTGGGACTGGTCAATACAATTTGAATTATGGAGCTGGATTTATGGTTATGATTGACGCGTCTTCCTCAAGATTGTCGGAGGTGCTGTGTGCGTCGAGGTTGTGAAATTATTTTAAAGGAACAGGGGTGTATCAGTAAAGGTGATAAGAGTATTTTACATGTAGGGCTTCAATCACACACTTGGTGAAGCGTTAGAAAGCTATCTTCAAGTGCGTGTGCTAATTGGGTTTACTCCATCCATACTATTTATATCTCTGAGAAAGCTGTTCATATATTCTATAAGTAGAACTGATAACTCTTTGTGGCATTTGAGAGTATTTGAAGAGAGTATGTTGGACTTGGGTATCAGCAAGCGAGGAACTGACGGTTTGTGTAATTGTAAAAGCATGCTTTTTTCACCATGCCAGTTTCAATACTTTCTTTCTATTGACGTACCATGATTTCATTTGGTGGATCTGGTAATCCTTTGGGAAGAGTCCTGAAGTCCGTGTATGCTCCCGGGGCTTCTTCTATTGTGATTCCAGATGGAGGACCAGCTCTCAGATGTTTCGCTCTTACCGTCACCCTGTACTGTGTGCTCGGTGATAAACCGGTAATAGTGTGGCGATAAACACCTGGTTTTACAGTTCGGACCTACAAAAGAAAAAGGAATAAAATATTGGGTTAATAACACTGTGTTCGTTTTGTCTCATTTAACTCTTAGGTACTCACTTCTACGTTGTTGACGCAAACGACGTGCTGATGATTAGAATTGGCAGGCAACCATGATATAACAGCCTGGGAGCAAGTTACTCCGCTTGCTCTGACACACGTGGGTCCCATATTAACAGTGTCACGTCCGATCACCATAGTGCAGGCAGCATCACGAGACGTACGGCGGGTAACAGTCACAGATCGCACGCTGATGCGGTGAGGCTTCAAAAAAAGTCATAGTTTAGTTTAACACTAACGCCCAATACTGTATTTGATTCGTGCTCCAATCACAGAATGAGGTCAAAATCGATACACAACTAAAAGCAATATTTATAGAACTAAGTTAATTATGTGCTCTTTGAAAATGACAATGATAACTAGGGCGACACAAACAAACGAGAAACTATAATCAATTTGAAACAACTAGAAGAAACTCACCCTATTGGAATCTACTCCTTCGACCAAAGCACGCGTGCGCTCCGTGGCTTTGACGGTGGTCTTCAAGACTCCGTCAACATAGACGTGGTAGCTCTCGATGTTGGCCTGCTGGACTCCTTCTGGTGCTGTCCAGCCAATGAGCACGGACTTGTTCAACTGCCTCTCCAGGGTGAGCTGCCTCGGCGCCGGCACTAGCGACGAGAAAAACAGCTCGGCTGTTCAGGTCCGAGGGTTGATCGCATAGGAGTGCAGCCAGGCAGGCGAAGTGCGAGTGATATGCGAAGAAGCGTGCAGCGAAGTCCAGTGGAACGGGACGGGACATAGGGAAGGATAAAGGTAAACTATAGATATCTATTGCTACAGTTTCAATGAGAAATGCATGGTAAATGTTAAACATTTTGTGATAAAAAATATATCGTAAAAATTCATCAAAATATGATAGTCACAAGCTTCATAAAGGTGCATTAAACGCGCCCGTACATGCATGCAAATTAAGTTCGTTTTAGATAAACTATTAAATAAATTTTGTTATAGTGATGTGAAATGTTACTCGAATAAAAAGGCACAAAAAACAATTTCGTTGTATGTTTCCCAATATGCTTCTAATTTATCTAGCTATGTTCAATCCAATATCTATAGCTTTCTATTTGAATCTTATCATAACTATTGAATGAAAAAGATCTATGTCGGATAAACATTGGTTGGTTTTTTTTATCTAAGAGTCGTGCTAGTTCAAAAGGGTGTTATCACTTACCATTGTCATCATCTTCAGGGCCTTCACTGATATCAGCTACCTCATTAAGTCGTGCCACGTCACGGCTAAGCGAGAGGTCACTGACCGCAGTCGTTGCTGACTCGTCGACATCTCGCAATGTTGCGACCACCGCCTGTGAACAAGTCTGCTGTTACCATTTATATTTGGTAGTTATCTTTGAAAAATTTGATGACATTTAAGAACTTATAGGGTATAAGTTGTTCTGCTTTGCTGATGTTTTCACATTGAATAAATTAAATATAATATTAGCTTGATAATGCTAGCTATGTAGTTGAATGCTGAAACATTTACTTAGGTTGGCTAAGCAAAGTGAACTACAAATATTTTTGTTGAATCTAACCTATATATGTGAATTTTATATCATGTAAGTTAAATGTAGGAAAAATATTTTTAGCACTCAAATACCAAGTAGTGTTCTCAGAGATAGGTACCGTCAGTTTTAAAGCGTTTTAGTTCCGTACCAAGAACTTCTACGATTCAAAGAAAGCGGAACGCTTTTCTGCCTTGCATCTCGAAAATATTACTTTAAAACCATAATAATTTTGTTAAAGTAGACGCTATGAATGTTCGTGGTACGACCTGTCTAACTTATGGGATATCAACATATGCATTTTTTTGTAAGTTTTTTTTTTCACTTTTTTTAAACAAACAAGGCCTAAATACTATAAAATGGAGCATACAATTGCATATTTTCTTATTTCTCCGAGAATTGTAGCAATAAGAACCGGGTAATTTACATCCAAAGTTTTTGCACTGCCACCTAAACTGTTTGTCCTTTGGTGAACTTTCACTTTAACTTGAACCAAAACCACCAAAACTGAATCTACTACACAAAATCTTAAAAAAATCATTATTAACAAATAAAAATGACGGTAACATTATTTGATGAAGACGAAATTTCAATATTAATATTACAATATTCAGAAATTTTACAGTATAATTGGGGTCACCAATGTTTTGTCCAAACTTGGACTATGCCGATGCCTTGCCTGCTTAATGACAAACAAGGTGAACTAGGATCAAAAGCAGCTAGCTAACATAGGGCATAAAACCAACACTCCGAAGACCTAGAAGCCGGCTATTTGGTGAGAAGAATACAACATCATTTTTGATTGGCATAGGTTATTTTTATGATCGAAAGATACTGTTTAAAATAAACGATTTCACCACAGCGGGATGTCATAAATGTTATTAATTGATAAAGTTGATTAAAATTATGGAAAAATATTTTGAGAAAAGAAAATTTTGGTTAGTAATTGTAAGTTTTTCTTTCATTCGTTGCGAAAGTATTATGTGACAATACACTAACGAAATCGTTAATTAATCGTAATCAATGCGTGATTGGTCATCAATGATCACTTTAATTAAATTAAACGCGTTTAAACGAAAGTAATATAAAAAAACTTTCTAGTTTTGACACAAAAAACAAATACCGACCTACAATTTGAGCCACCAAAACTTAGGAATTGTCAAATGTAACGACACCAAAGAGGTTCATCACGTTATGAAAGGAAAATGCTGTGCATGATTACATTTCCACTATTTGCAAATATTAGAGCATAAGTAAATATAAGTAGGGTATAGCAATACGACACGTCTCGCGTCATCCGATAATAAATTATATAACGTTGAAATTTCGCCGCCTAAACTAAACACTTTGCTTGGACAAACATTGATGCCAAATCATTTGTGGTTAAATAGATGAAAATAAAAATAATTTAAAGAATAGGATACTCAAACTACTTAAGTTACTAATACATGGGCACTTTTTGTTAAACGACTTCGAACATAGTCAATGCGAGTGCATCTTCGAGAAGAAGTAAGCTGAGGACATGCCACCAAGTACTTAAATAGACCTTATTTTCTTTTTTAGTAAATAAATATCAATATTTATAAAAAATCTGTTCATAAAGCCAACTTACAACTTAGTTGTAGCATTGCTAGAAAAAAATCTTATGACAAAATATGCACTTAACACAGGCAGGCATTCTCAGTTAGGACAAGCAAAAAATGCCCTTTGGATTATTCATTCTTATAGGTTTCTAAAAAGAAAAGATTACTAAAACCGTGATTTATCAAGTCTAATGCTTAATTACGTATAAATTATAGCATTGTTTAAGAGTTAATGCAAGAACTAGTAGTAGTGATTGAAAAGAGCAGATGAAACCGAATAAAAAGTAAGATACATACCTTAATGTTTTACTTTGAATTCAGTAATCCAATGAACTTCATGTATTTACATTGTGCATAAGAGTGTTGGAGATAATATGACATAATGATATTAAAGGAATAAGTAGAGATAAATAGATATCTGTAGAATTCAAGAGACTGAGGAGTATATAAAGTGCTGTACATACATATACAAAACATTCAACATATAAAAGAAAACATTTTATGCAAACGTTGAATTTAATAGATTACGTACCTGGTGAAATTCCAGTAGATCATCTCCGATTAGTCTTTGTACGAAATTTGCTGGCACAAGACCTCTTCGTCCGTCTAATAACTCAGCATCCAGCATCGAAGCATTTGGGTCTAAAGGACCCCACACCAAAAGATAGTCTCCAGCACATATTGAAAGTTCCCCTTCGGCGCTTTCAATCCTTAAAGAAAAATAATATTTTTTAGGAAACTGGGTGGGTACATTTGAACTGGCACGGTAAGAAATACAAAATAGTTAACTCTACTTTGTAGTCAGTCATAACTATACATATGTATATGGCAATGGGAAGAGCTGATGTCTTACTAGCAGTTTTGTTTCCGGTCAATAAATAATAATAATAAATCTTTATTCAATATCAATAATTACATGTAAATGACTAAATCTAAAAAATACAAAATGAGGAAAAAACTACACAGCCTGAACTATGATTGTCCTGTGTTTCAGACAAAAAGATCTTAATATAACTAATTAATAAATAACAAATTAATAATAATTAATAATTAATCTTAATTAACTTTGATAACCAATAGCACAATCAAAAAAGACAATAACAAAAAACAAAATATACTTAATTGAATTTAAACGTTTTAATAAATATGGTATGAAAATTTAATCACATTTTATTTTAAAAAGGTCATCGAGTTCTCTGTATCTATGGCAGTATATGGCAACATTTGAAGGGTTTTTTGTGGGATTTCTTTGGTGGTTTTAATATACGGCGGATAAATATTCAGTTTTAAATTCAAGCGGTTGTACAAAAATGGACCTTGAAATAGGTAAAATCTAGAAGAAAACTCATGTTTAGTAAATATTTTTTGAGGGCAAGCTTAGCAAAGCAATATCCTTACGTCTTTTGTCAAGAAAATAAGAATCGACCAATCCTATTGATGGAGGTGACATTTATTTAAAGTAATACGTACTATATATATTTGTATCGTGTTATTTTCTCAATCTTCTTGTAAAGTTATTTTGTATTTACTAAAGCAAAATGTTTATGGTCATGAAGGCTCTACAGTGGCACTTTGACTTTTTAAATGATTTCCTAATATACAACTTACTCAGGCGGATCATATGAAAAGCGGGCGATGTAAACGCAGCAACGTCCTTTTCCCGGTATATCCAACATATCAACTTGAGGTTCATTCGATGCGCCGCCGTTCATAAAATAAGTGTTCCGAACTGCAAGCATAAAATCAATGAAAAATAGGGAACGACATTATGTTTCATAAAAAAAATGGAAAAAACTGACCATCCATATCCATTCCAGGGTTTGGTATCATCCTAGATAAAGCTCTTTGGTTCCGGTCATGGCTGAAACCTGAATCCATACCGGTTATTCTATCAGGTCCGAATTGGTTATCTAATCCTAAGCTCCATGAGGGCTGGTGCGGTGTCACCGGGGTGGCTACTCTGCCCACTCCACTTGTAGTAGTCCCATATCTACCTATGCCCAAGTCAATTTCTTCTAAAGGTTTTAGTTTTATATTCATCGCATTACCACCTAATCCACTCGATAGTAGGGGGTTCGTATAAGTCCCTGTGCCGTAAGGATTCGTTCCTGTTAAACTCGTATTTAATGTTCCAAGTTGAGTTGCACCCGTGATGTTGGATAAAGGGTTACTCAAAGCTCCTGTTAACGAAGACTGTATTCCTCCAAGGGTACTTGTCAATCCTCCGGACAAACTTGTTTGCACATTGTTCAGACAACTAGTCAATCCAGTTCCAGACATTGTGCCTGTTATTCCTGTGCCCGACAAACCTCCGCCCAGATTCATTCCGGGCACGTTACCAGTTATATTCTGAAGGTTGCTCTGCAAACCCGCTAATGTGCTAGAAATTTGGCTAATGTTGTTCACTAAGGGCGCTGTAACTGGATTGGTGAAGGTAACTTGATGAGTGTTCGGTAAATACGAATTGGTGGAATATGCTGATACGGGATTGGAATATGAAGTGGGGTTGTGTGCGCTCATGGAATAGGCGACGGAATTTGAACTAGGGGCGGTGAATTGTCCAGTGGCATGTAAAGATGATAGTGTGGGCATCGTATTGCTCTGGCAGATGGCTGCGTGGCCAGAAGTACTCGTGTATGAATGCGGTAACGGCGACGGCGTCGGCGAATGGAACTCTCCCACTAGACCTTGATTGGATCCACTCGACTGCATGCCTGCATAAACAATTGATAAATAAATTCTGTTATTGACTACCTACTGTTTAAAAAGTATTTGTTAATTTTGCCTAATGGCAATGATTCTGATATTATAGTCAATGGATATGATTAAGTTAATGGATATGATATAGAACTTCGTTTTCAATCGATGGAATTTGAAATTATCTAGCAGTACAAGAGTTCTTTAAAGTGCTTTTACTGCTCGTTCGAGTGTGCGCCTTGATTCACAATAAAGTAAGCTGTCCCTTGCCTTTTGCCATTGTATAGTTGATTGGAACTCGGTGATGTGTCAGCGTACCATGCGTAGTGGATCTAGTGTGCTCCAGCTCCGCTAGGATACGGTTGTCTTGCTCGATCTTGGCCATGATGCGTTCTATCTCGGAGGCGGGCTGGGTCGGGGGCGAGGACCACGCCGTTCCAGAAGACGTGCCACGTGCTCGCAGCGCCGACGACAATTCCAACTGGAGTTCTTCACATCGCACCGTTTCTAGAGCCGCCTGAATTTTTATTATGAATTAGTATTCCATTATGAAAAATTGCGGCTCCTATGATAACGGTCCTAAAAACAAAATCTAAATACAAATTTTTAATTCAAATCGTTAGAGCTGTTTCCGAATTAGAATTTACATTAATTTTCTTACACAAATAAGGTAACAAAATAATTCCTACGTTTCTGAAATACATAAACGGTTCAAAAAAGCTATTTTTCCCATTTATATGGAATATGTATGGACATAAATAGGGTTATAATCCGTTAAAAATTAAAACCCTTTCGTTTATTCGTCTTGTATACTTCTATAAGTTTTTTTCAGATGACATGACAATCCTCGCAAATAGAGGAATACATTGCTGACCCTTTTTTATAGCACCCTAGATCCGAACTACCTTCTTTTCCAGCTCTCTACCGCTTGACTGTATGTGATCTACGTTATTCTTAACACTATTTACAGTGTTCAATACGGAAAATCTGGATTACAATATGTAGCTAACCTAATTTTCTATGTCCCTAGCTCTAGACAGAACCTACTCGACGTTGTAGTTGTCGCTATGTGCAGAGATGCGACAAAGCTAGTCAGTATATTGCTAACATAATTTGATATTTGCATGCTAATTTAGCGAATCATGTTTGAGCACCATATGTATTGTAACATCTTTTTATTGTACCATGTTTCTTGTAAATAAATATGAATATGAATATGAATATAACACATTGCTAACCTTTTTTTCAGCTCCCTAGCTCTGAACTGCAGCTGCTCGATGTTATGCTAAAGCGTTGTTGGTGTTGATCAATAGGTAATAGGTCGTTAATATTTATTTGTAGTAATAAATTGTAAAGACACGTTATATGATATTTTATATATTTCTAAATACTTACGTAACATGTATAAATAACATTGTGGGAAAACTCCACAATGCGCGTCGAGAGGTTGCCCGCGCTCTTAACTGCAACTACCAGCTCTGGGCTTCAGTTGATCGACGTTATGCGGGTCGAGCGGCTAGCGCGGTTCAGAAAGCAACAGTGCGAGCGCGTCAGCATGCACTCTCTCAGCGTCCGCGCACTAAGCTGCTGCTCCTCGATGCCATACTTGATTGATACTATTTGCTGGGTTCGATGCGACAAAGCTTAATAATAATATTGCTGACCTTCTTTTCCAGCTCCCTACCTCTTGACTGCATGTGATACACGTTATAGTTATCACTGTTTACAGTGTTCAATACGGAAAACCTGAATACGTAGCTGACTTAATTTTCTATCTCCCTAGCTCTAGATTCAAGCGACGAGCGCTGCGCAGACCTTCTTTTCGATTTCCCTAACTCTAGGCTGCAGCTCAAGCGGCAAACCTAGACAGTATATTGCTGACCTTTTTTTCCAGCTCCCTAGCTCTGGACTGCAGCTGCTCGACGTTATGCGCGTCGAGCGGCGAGCGCTGCGCAGACCGCAGCTGTGCGAGCGCGTCAGCATGCGCTCGCTCGGCGTCAGCGCGCGCTCGCTCAGCATCGCGCAGTCGCCGTGACAGCGCGTCTGTGTCACCCGCGCTGGACATGCCGCCGCCCGCGCCGCCGTAACCGCTCATATTCTACAACAAAGAGATTTAGGCTAAGTGATTTTATCGTTTCGCGTTTGGCAGCGCCGTTGGAGAGTACGCACTCGGTGATATATGGGGTTAGTAGTTTAATTTCAAAGTCGCGCAATTGAGTAATGGCGTTTGGTAAACGCAGTAAACGCTGTTGAACAGCGCGCTGCCCAAAATAGTCATATGCTGCGTGACTATAAAACCAGCCTTTATGTCCACTGGGAGCATCCAGTTGGACTAACATTCATTGTGATGTGAACTTTGCTTAGACATTTTCAACACTCGAATTTTATGATATGCAGAGAGATTTCCGCGTTGTACCGAATGCACCATTGATTTGCACTATTAATGGTGCAGTGAGCCAGTTTTGTTCCCCACCACTCCTGTTAAAATTTGTTATAATTAAGATAAGAGAATCATGGCAGAACTGGGCTCATTATCAGCATATAATAACAATTAAAAAAACTCACTTGTTTATAACGAAGCTATTAGATCAATCTATATTAATCACAGAATCGTATGTCCACGGATTCAAATAGGTAACATTCCTGACACCCTTAATTTTAATAACAGTTAAAAGTGGTCTTTTTTCACAGGTTCTTTCATGCTTGTATGAATAATTTATCGATTTTATGTTAAACCCGAGTGAATCGAGTCGGTCGCCCTTCGCGACTGACGTCACACCGATAAGAACTGATATAATATATTAAGCCTTAGCGAACCCATCCAATACAAAGGCTGGTCGAAACATTGAAAACACAATCAATATTTTGTCAATATAAAAGGCAGGCGATTTAAGTCTCACTGTCTCACTGAAGTTGTAAGCCCAAAGGCTAGAAAAATGCACGCACCTAGGCGCACCGCAATCAACTGTGAGAATTTATGCATACGACTGTTCACTAGGATTTGTCAACAAGGGAGTGCTGTTCTGTAATTCTGTAACAACAAAGTCACTTTTCACGACTGAATCTGCGGTGTGATTTAAAGTGAGAACAAAAATTTCATATAAATTTCAAATCACACCGGCGAATTCCAGGTGTTATTGAAAAATGAGTTTGCTCTTACAGAATGGCACTGCTTCTAAGCGAGGCTGTTTGTAAAAGAACTTCTAGACTTCTTTTTTAAATCCACTTTTTTGTTTCTTTACAACCCATCCTTCTTAGGTGTGGAGCAAATCTCTGAAATGTTAAGAAAAATGAACTTATTTTAGCGAACATTTCGCTACAGTGTCTTTAAAGTAATGTCGCCTTTATCATAATACCTAGGTAACACTGAAAATGTTAAGAAAATTAAAAATGGCTTAATGTAGATGTCGAAGTAATCTCCGTTCCTCTCTTCACATCGTCGGATTCGATGGAACCACTGAGAAAAGCAGTGGGCTGATTTTTGTCTCTTCTATGGCATTTTCATCTTCAGGGCTCATAAAGGGAATAACTCGAATTTTATCTTTATTTCTTGGGAATAAATGAAAGTCGAATGGCGCTAGGTCAGGACTGTATGGCGGATGCCTCATTATCTCGACTCCTGCCATAGTCAAATATTCAACAGTACGTTTTGCAGAGTGCGGTGAAGCATTGTCGTGGTAAAGGAGGATCCTGCTTCCAGGGGGCTACTGTCGAATTTTTTCCAAGTCAACAGGCAAACAGCGATTGACATACCAGTTTGCAGTAACTGTCCTTCCATCTTCTAGCACAACTCTCGTGAAATGACCTTTCCGACCAAAGAATGAGGCAATCATCTCCTTTCCTTGACTTCTTTCTTTCTTTACCTTAGTTGGCCGATCCTCGAAAGGAAACATCCACTAAGCTGATTGTCTTTTGGTTTCGGGTTAGTAGCAATATATTCAGCTTTTATCACCTGTGACGATGTCAAATACAGCATTTGAGTTACCGTCGTTGAACTCATCTAACATTTGGCGACACCAGTCCATGCGAAGGTGTTTCTGGTCGTCGGTTAAAGTATGGGGAATCCACCTGCGCCAATGCTTCCTGACGCCTAAATCTTCGTGTATTTTTTTTTTGAACTTGACTCATACCAATGCCTAGGCTTGCCGGTATCTGCTGATAGGTCACTCTCTTATCTTCCTCCATCATGCGTCGCACAGCACTGATGTTATCTTCAGTAGTCGCTGTTAAAGGACTTCCCTCAAGCGGATCATCATTGAGATTGCTACGTCAAAGCTTAAACTCGTTAAACCAAATAGTGGCACGAGATGGGACTTCATTAAGAAATGCTAATTGCAGCCTGTTATTGTTATAGCTTTGTTGTTGAGTAAGCCCAGAACGAAAGTCATAATAATTCATTGACCGAAAATTTTCTCGCGTTAGGTGCATTTTCACGTGTAACAAGAGTTTTAGATTTGCCGCCAATTCCAAAAAAATGACAAATGAATGCAATATACTACATTAGGTTAACAAAGAGTTCTAAAATTGAAATACAAAAAAGTTTTCATTAGCAATGTTTTTAACTGGCCAGTTCTAAACATTTTCAGTGTTACCCACGTATGCATCAAGCGTAAAAAGGACTTGCATTGTGAACATTTGGAAATCAAACTTTACATCTTCCACAATCCTCAAGCTTGCATACGATTCCTCTGTCTCACGGGAACAGCAACAAAATCTAGACGACGCCACTCACTAACTGATAAACTTCTCGCACTATCATTGATGGCTATTAAATATTACGAAACTCAAAGGAAAAACAGCCCCCGAATGTGTGGGCGAAGAGAAAAAGTGCGCTGACCTGATTTCCGTGACGTGTCCCTAAGCTCCATAACCCACCCCCCCTCCACCCGTACTTTCCCCCGAATGTTGGTAGACACGACGTCGCCAGCGAGTAGGAAATTAGGCTCAACGGCCAGACCAGACGGCCTGTAGGAGGCCGCCGGGGAAAACAGGTCGGGAAGAATGAATTATATTATACCGTGGCGCTTCCGAGCTTAAAACTTGACGAAAATAATAATTGCCTCTGATATTTTCATGTACATCAATATATTAATAAACAGTCTTAGGAGCATAAAACACGATAATATATATATATATATATATATATATATATATATATATATATATATATCTACATTTATGAAATACTAGTGGCCGCCAGCGACTTCGTTCGCATTAACTTATTAAGTAGTTTTCGCGTGATTAAGTAACAAACTTACAAACTTTCACATCCTATTCCTATTAATATTATGAAATTTGGTACGCTTTAGGTAATGGCCTGGATTGAGATATAAAATAGTTTTTATGCCGGATAAAATTTTGGTTCCTGAGGGATTTAAAAAAATAACGCTGATGAAGTCGCGACGTGAGCAGCCGCTAGTTTATAATATAAGCAAGATTGAGTCTTACGGGCATAATTTTGTTGTTTCTTTAACTTTCGTACACATTTTAAACACTCTTACAATAAACATACGAGCACAAAGTCAAAAACGGCTCCGAAGCACCAAATATTAAAATAGTTACATACATTCAAAAGGCTGTTTTTTTATTAACTCTCAGCTGAATTTTGTACTAAGCATACACAGTTCACATTTACACTCATCGTGTGGGCACTATACACGACATAATGAGACACAAAATGAATGTGTGTGCCCTGAAAAGACACGACTCTGAATTGCCCCGGTATAATATAATTTACCCCTAACTTCCCTCCGACATGATAAATGAATGATTCCCTAAGATCCCACGGAGATAAACCTACACTGACGTTTATTTCCCCACGAATGTTGTTGGCTTTCTTAATGGTTTCCATTACATACTAAGTATTAGTCTGTATTAGCTAACTTATTAACTTTTTTTGTGAATTTGTTTGAAACCAACGGAAAACTTTTTAAATGAACCATATATGAACATGACAAAATAAACATTACTTGTTTACTTTTATCATTATTAGTGATAACTTTCAAAATGCATAGTTTTTAACGATTTATAATTTTTCCTTTTTGTAGTTCATTAAGTCTGTAATGCCTCTTAGGTTATACCTAAGGTTATGCCTATGTGGGTTGAATAAATAAATAATAAATAAATATTTCCAACACTCACACCAATTAGCCTAGCCCCAAAGTAAGCACAATAAGGCTTGTGCTATGGGATACTAGGGTAACGGATAGAATACGTCATATACTGTACATATATAAGTATATTTTTATAGATATACATATTAAACATCCATGACTGGAGTACAAATTCTCGTATTCATCACACAAACATCTGCCCCCACCGGGACCTTGACGACCTCCGTGGTCGAGTGGTTTGTACGCCGGCGTACAAACCACTCGACCACGGAGGTCGTCAAAATATCATAGTAGGTACTTTATTATTTACTATTTCCGATTCTTTCCGCGCTTTTAATAAAACTTATTTATTTCTATCAACCTGCTCTTCTACAGTACAAAGCTTTGCAGCAAATGAAACTTTTCTTTTCAGAAATAACAATAAGGAATTTAAATCTAAAGAAAAGTTTACTAGAAAAAAAATCCACGCGGACCAGGCAACGGATGGGACTCGAACCCGCACCCTCCGCAATCCGGACGAATGCATTGACCATTATGCTACCACGGCCCTATTCACCGCGTCGAAATTTTCCTAGCCTTAAGCTGCAAGGCAGCGCCATCTCTTCGCATTGTGTAACCCACAATTTTTTTTCTAGTAAACTTTTCATTAGATTTAAACATCTAGCACAGTGGTTCTCAAACTTTTTAAATGACGGAACCCTTTTGGGAAGCAAAATACTTGATGGAACCCTACAATAAAACAATTATTTTTATAAGTGTATTCTATATTAATCAGCATAATAAAAGTACAATGTATCCGTTACTAATTATTATTTACTTCACCACTTGGTAAGGACAATAATAGAAAACATTAAAAAAGAAAAAATCTAACTAGTGGGAGGTATGAAACTGTTTTTTATTTTTCATCAATTGCTTGATATCAGGTTTGATGGAAGAAAGTTGGAGTCTCATATCAGCTTCGGCGTCCAGTCTATTGCGATATTTT